ACCCACCACCTTTCTCAGCTTTAGCCTGCTGGGTTTTAAAAAGTCATCACCTTAATTTTTTACCAGCAGAGACCGAGCTGGACAGAGAAGCTTCTAGGGCTCACTGTATCAGAAAGAACAGACCACACAGTTTCAAGAGATATTTGCTCAGATGTCAATGAATCCCAAGTGCCTTCAGATCAATTTTGTCATGAAAAGAGCCTCAACTTAGAGCGAACAATAGCTAGTATTTATTGAGTTCTTGCTATATGCCAAGCACTTTGCTAAATGTTTTTCATGCATTAGCTCATTTAGCCCTCACAAACTCATTACTCTTTAGCAAATGAAGAAACTAAGACAAAGAGAAGTTAAGGATCAAACAACTGTCCTGGTGAAACTGGGATTCGAGGTCAGGACTGAGGGCAAGGGCAAGGACCTTGTACAAGGCTATGCTGCCCGTCTCGTTAAGTTCTTAGGCAATGTCTCTGCTTTTGCCTGTGCTGTTACTCCTCCACTGGCAGAGAAAAATGCTTACAGGCTGTCTCTCTCTCTTTTAAATATGTTTTATTGATTTGAGAGGGAGAGGGAGTTAGAAACAGTGATGAGAAACATCGATTCAGCTGCCTCCTGCACACTTCCCACTGGGGATGTGTCTGCAACCTTGACCAGACTCGAACCCAGGACCCTTCAGTCCAAAGGCCGACGCTCTATCCACTGAGCCAAACCAGCTAGGGCAAGAGTTAGAAACATCCATCAGCTGCACCCTGCACACCACCACCGACTGGGGATGTGCCCGCAACCAAGACATGCCCTTGACAGGAATCGAACCTGGGACCCTTTAGTTTGCAGGCCGACGCTCTATCCACTGAGCCAAATCAGTTAGGGCCAGGCTGTCTCTTTTAACGAGCCTGTCAAAAGGGAGAAGTATTGACATGGTTCTGGGACCCAAGGCCCCTGGCAACCATGTTTAGCCCTTCTATGACCTCAAACTCCTCTGAGGTGGTGTCAACCTATGTCCCCACAGCTGGTATATCCAGAGCTGTATCCGCCTGGCAGGTTGGAGGTGATCCTGCCCTGCCTCCACAATGTATGGCTTCTCCTGGACTCTAGAACAGGGGTGTCAGGCCAAGAGTTCTCTTCGCCCAATAACAAAGTATTTTCAGTTGGATACCAGAAGGTAAGATTCATGAGCTGTTTGTGTTGTTCATCACTGAATCCTAAGAGTGCTTAGGTAGTAGGTAGGGACTCAACAGTTGTTGAACATAGTGAATGAGATAATATAAGAATGAGATTACTGAATTCCTAACTGCAAAGTATATAGCAAATTATTAATTGTTTATATAAAAGTTAACTGTATACAACTATGGCTTTAAGTATTTATTCCAGAAACAGGAGACATCAAACTAAAAGACTGCCTGGGGAATCCAAATCAAGAGGAATAAAGAAGCCCTAACCAGTTTGATTCAGTGGATAGTGTTGGCCTGAAAACTGAAGGGTCCCAGGTTCGATTCCTGCCAAGGGCACATGCCTGGCTTTTAGACTCAATCCCCAGTGGGGGCGAGATTGTGCAGGAGGCAGCAATCAGTGATTCTCTCTCACCATTGATGTGTCTCTCTTCTCTTTCTGAAATCAATAAAAATATATATATTTAAAAACAAAAACAAAAAGTAAGAAATAATTTTATAAAGCAGGGAATGGGGCAGATGAAGAAACAGGATATTCCAGATACTTAACCATCCCCACTCCCAAACAAATATTACTGTACACATGTTCCAACTGAGAAAAAGCCATTTTAATAACACACACATACATTCATAGGATTTAAACAAGATGTAGTATAAATCTTAAAAAAAAAAAAAAAAAAAAAAAAAGGAAAGAAAAAGAAAACCTGTATCTCTTTGTAAACTGCCTAGGAGCTGGTAGATTAACTGGGTGACAGGACTGCCCAGGGGAAAGAAACACACAGATAATGAGGTGTACCAACACTGTTAGGAAGTAATAAATAACCACAGATCATGCTCTGCATGCCCAGCCACCCGCACCCCAATCTTGCCTCCGTGGAGGCAAATCAGGACAATCCTTCCCTAATTTTCAAACTCACTTGTTAATGGATCAATTCTTAAAAGTTTTTATTTTAAAATGTAAAAATTATTCTTGGCTTAAAGACTTGACACATTATTACTGGCCAGTCCCCACCAACTACACTTGCTTGACAGAAATAAAAAGGCAAATGCTCCAACTGAGCCTGGATGACAACACACCGTTTTCTACCTTTACATCTGGGGAGATATCTGTGAAGTCAAAGGCAAGCTATTACTTGTACCTCAAAACAAAAACAAAACGCCAACCTTCCAAAAGGCGACAAAGGCACGCTGCCGTCAGGAGATAGACAGAAAATGTACAGATGCTGTTACTTTACTGCTACATAGATGCATTTTGTGCATGGAGAGCATCTTCACTTAACATGATACAACTAATAGAATTGTATTTTCGGGTAACAAGAAAAGCAGTTTAGAAAAGGCAAACAGTTACACACAAAAGCATAAACACTTACAAATACCTTAAGTTTTAGCTTGCAACAAGGGTAATAAGTTTGACATACATATCCAGAAAAATTAGACAAGGTGATTTTTGGCACAGTAATACTGCCAAACACACCACCACTCAGTGCAAGCTTTGTTTGCCAAGACCCAAAAGTGGCCTGACATTCTCTGTGCAAGGAACAATTTCTCCCCCACTACCATCCCATTCACTGGGTGGGCAACAACAGCAGGAGGGAGACAAAGCAAGAGGACTCAGGAGGGGGAAGGGTGGTAGTACTTGATTTGGGAGAAAAACCATGGACTACTTGTGCTAAGAGAGAATCACACAATTTTTATGAGAACCTGAATGCAAATACTGACTGAAATGTGACCTGGAGACTGAAGACGTCTACCAGAGTCATAAGTACAAGGGTCCAAACTGATGTTTGGCCATTTATTTTAAAGGGACACATGAAGCATATCTCTGTAATGGAGAAGGACAATTAAAAATAGAGACTTTTCTTATTGGAACTGCTAAATAAAAATGTATCAAAGTGGTTTTACATTTGATGGGCAGTTACCTGTTGAAACTGCAATACAAAAGGGTCACTTAAAAAAAAAACCTGAATAACCCACTTGTCCCCCCCTTCAATGTACACATTAGAAAATATTTACACACTGTAATTACAAGCAATATAAGCAGTATTTTATACTTCTGAGATTTTGTACACTTTACACAATGCAAAATGGGAAAAATATGAACACTTATAAAATTACACACAAATAATGTATCTACAAAGTATTAAATTACAGAGTGAAAGCCCCCACTGTTGGGCAGATAGATGCCAGAGTTTCAAGCTTCTGTCAAATATAACTCTTTGTATCTATCTCATTAACCATAAGTGGCATTTTCTAACAATACCCTTAAGAGGTAGTATCAAGTTAATATTCTTACCAGTAAACTTAATACAGAATAAAACTTTTGTTGGTCTGACAGGGTTCTTAGGAACTGAATTTACTTAGTCTTCCCTAGGAAATCTCTAACTGCTCAATGCTTGACATGGGCTCAAAGGTTACTGATGCTATTTTAAATGATAAATTAAAGATAAAATGTTGTTTTACTCCTAAGCCTCAATTCAGAGTTAGAAAGCTATTTTTCCAAAATGTATTCTCCTCTATCAAACTACAGACATCAAGTCCAATTCCCTTCCCCATCACCTTCCCCCCCCACAAGTGGAGACTTCAGAGTGCTCAGGATAGCTAGCAATGTCATCCAAGTCAATACTGAGAGAGAAAAAAAAGTTGGCATTTTCTTTTAGGAAAGAAACCCTCCTAAAAGGGACGCTCAGTCAACAAAAGAATTTTTCTATTATTACCAAGGGCGGCGAAGGGCCCTTGGGCTAAGACCAGCATGTGCATTTCTACTAACCCTCCACTGTTTAAACCAAAGGGTAGCTTTCCAGTGTTTAAGAATTTAGAGCAGCTGTGATTTTTAAGTGCAACAACTTTAAAATACAAGCACAAACACACGTGTATGTGCACACACACGTGGCAATGTTCTAAAGAATAAACACCATTCAGTTTTCTGCCAAAGTGACATACTCATGAAAATAAGGTTTTGGAAACTTGTTCAGATATTTAAGCTTTTACAATACAGACACCTCCGTAATATGGCTACTAAGGGGCCAGAATTCTAAGATTTAGCCAAAATTCTATGTTTTAACCAGTATTAAAAAAAAATGCACTGGAAATTAAAAACAAACTACATATGAATGTTTTGGCATGAAAACAGAGCTACTATTTTATAGCTTAACTTTTGCCCCTTAAGGGGATCTGACAATATACCTTGTATTTCTCAACCATTTAAGTGTATTTAAAAAAACCTAACAGATTTATAATCTTGAATAGTAAAGAAAAATGCATGGATTGGAACCTCCTATTGTTTGTAGGAGTTACAAAAGAGATTTATCTTTTTTGTTACTAAACTCATTTGTAAGTTTTTCCATTAAATTGAAAAATAACCAAAAGGGAAAATTAAACCCAAGTAGAACTTGGTCTTGGTTTCCATGTACAACTTCTCACATTGGTCCAAATATTTTCTTACATATTTCGTGTGATTATCCAAGTGCCACAAATACAAAACAAAATTAAAAAGCCCCCAAACAAACGAACAAAAACACACCCACTGGCTTATAATTTAACAGAGGAGTTAATAGGGGCAGATAAGACATGCAACTATAAGCTGCTTCCACTGTTCCCGCCTGTTAGAGGATTCTACTCTTTTAAAAGGCCAATTGCCTTAATTAAGCAGATTGTGTTTCATATCTGCTCCCGAAATGGCAATTTCTTTTATTACCAGCCTCATACTAGATATTCAAGCGGCACACTTGCTGCCCATTTTCTTAGCATTCCACTGGATTGTAGTAATCCTTTCAACTCCTCTAGGAAAGGCTCTTATTGAATTTCTCTTGGTTCATATATTTGCTGTTACATCTCCTGTTAAGAATCTGGAACCCAGAAATCATGAAGTTGCCCCTAGAAACAGAAAGGGGGGGGGGGAACAGAATAAAGAAAAACCAAATTATGAATTAATCTTTATAAAACATATCATCATCAGACAATGAGTTTTAATAACAAAAGTAATAAAATCTTTATACTGTATAATTCTCTAAAAATTTATGATAATCAGATTCAAGTTTCATATTTTGTGGTCTAACAATTAAAAAGTATAAAGTATGTACAAGATGATTTCTCTTCACCAACATTCACATTTAGAGGGTGATATTTAAGAAGATTAAGTATAATGTTGAGCAGATTAATTTAGCTTAAGATTCCTCAAAGACTTCTCTAACAGGGTATGCATTTCTTATGAAGGACACCAATAACAAAAGAGTTAAAATGTCATAAATTAGTGAGATTGCTTCCTAATTAATATTCAGTGTTCCTGTTACTTTGATAAAAAATATAAGCAACTCCTAGGCTCTGGACCAACAGCACTGGCATTAACCCGAGAACCTCGTAGAAATGCAGATATCTGAGGTCCAATTCCAGACAATGAATAAAAATCTGCGTTTCAACAAATTCCTTGTTGATGCTTATGCACATCAAAATCTGAGAAGTTTGCTTGTAAACAAGCAGAATGGCAAACTTAATAGCAGGTATTTAAATAATGCCTCTCAAATAAAGTCTCTTTAGATATGATACTAAAAACATGACAAAAGGAAAACAGATAAAAGGAAAAAGAAGATAAAACTGGACTTCATCACAATTAAAAACTTTTGTCCTACAAACTACACCATCAAGACAATAAAAAGACAAGACACAGAATGGGAAAAATATTTGAAAATTATACTTACTAAGGGACTTGTATTTAAGACTATAAAGAGCATTCTTATAATTCAATAACAAAAAGATAAAAACTCAATTAAAAAATGGGCAAGGAATGAGGCCGGTTTGGCTCAGTGGTAGAGCGTCGGTCTGCGGACTGAAAGGTCCCGGGTTCGATTCCGGTCAGGGGCATGTATGTTGGTTGCGGGCACATCCCCGGTAGGGGGTGTGCAAGAGGCAGCTGGTCGGTGTTTCTCTCTCATTGACGTTTCTGGCTCTCTATCTCTCCCTTCCTCTCTGTAAAACATCAATAAAAAATATTAAAAAAAAAAAAAATGGGCAAAGAAGTTGAACAGATATTTCTCCAAACAAGCTATATGAATGGCTAATAACACATGAAAAATGCTTATTAGTCATTGGGGAAAGACAAATGAAAACCACAGTGGGATTCTACCCCCCCCCCCCCCCCCGTAATGGCTTTAGTTAAAAACAGGTAACAAATGTTGACAAGAATGGGGAGAAATTAGAAACCTCAAATATTCTAGTGGGAATGTAAAATGGTGCAGGCACTTTGGAAAACAGCCTGGCAGTTCCTGAAAACACTTAACAGAATTACCATATGAGCCAGCAATTCTACTCCCAGGTATATATATACCCAAGACGGTTTCACTTGAGAAGATATGTTCACATAAAAACCTGTACACAAATAGGCATTAAAGCATTATTCATGATAGCCAGAAGTAGAAACAACATGAATGCCCACCCAATAAGTGGGTAAATGTGATATATCCACACAGTGGAATATTATTTGGCAACATGAATTCACTTAACATTAAGTTATGTGAAAGGAGCCAGTCATAAAAATACCACAGAGTATATTGTTTCATCTATATGAAATATAAAGAACAGGCAAATCTATAGACAGAGTCTGTAGTTGTCTAGGGCTTCGTGGAATGGGGACAGTGGTTGGGGAATGGGAGTGACTGCTAGTGAATAAGGGATTTTTTTTTTTTAGTAACAAAAATGTTCTAAAGTTAATTTGTCGTGATGGCTGCACAATTCTATATGTACTAAAAACTACTGTAAACTTTAAATGGCTGAACTATATGATATGTGAATTTTGTCTCAATTAAGCTGTTAAGAAAAATGATTCTTGTGAAATAACCACCACTTGATGCACTTACACTTCTTGAAATAAATTAATGAATATAAAGCAAATAAACAAAAAAATACAAACTATTATACTGGCGTTTTCAGTTTATCTTAAGATACATAGAAGCAAACGCTGTCATATTTTTTTCAAATAATATGAAGAAATACCAGTTAGCAAAACTATTAAGAATAAATAAAACTGTTTAATAAAATGATACCTGAGTAGGACGACAGTTCTGGATAATTTCCTGCCATTTTCCATGTATCCTGGCAACCAAGTCTTTTACCTTAAAAACATCAAATAGAGGAAAAAGGATTAGATCAAAATATCCTTACCTAAAATCAATTTAAGCTTTATACAAAAGGTCTGATAACCGCCAAAACTGGTTTGGCTCAGTGGTAGAGCATCGGTCTGTGGACTGAAAGGTCCCAGGTTCGATTCCGGTCAGGGGTATGTACGTTGGTTGTGGGCACATCCCAGTAGGGGGTGTGCAAGAGGCAGCTGGTCGATGTTTCTCTCTCATTGACATTTCTAGCTCTCTCTCTCTCTCTCTCCCTTCCACTCTGTAAAAAAATCAATAAAATATATTTAAAAAAAAAAGATCTGATAACTGTGACAGGCCTACACAAAATTACTCAATTTGATTTCTGTCAAGAAATGAAAATTAAACTACTCATCATCTGGCGGTGCTTTGAAATCAGTGATTAATAAGGCTTTATCACCATAATCTAAAATAGTGAACACTGAGGACTCCATTTTCCAATTAGTTACAAAAGATCATCCACGAAAACATATTCCTTATCTTCAAGACACACACACTTTCTTTCTTTTTTCTCTTTCTTTCTTTCTTTCTTTCTTTCTTTCTTTCTTTCTTTCTTTCTTCCTTCCTTCCTTCCTTCCTTCCTTCCTTCCTTCCTTCCTTCCTTCCTTCCTTCCTTCCTTCCTTCCTTCCTTCCTTCCTTCCTTCCTTCCTTTTTTTAATATTCTGTGCATCTCTTTTTTTTTTAATATATTTTATTGATTTTGTACAGAGAGGAAGGGAGAGAGATAGAGAGTTAGAAACATCGAGGTGAGAGAGAGTCATCGATCAGCTGCCTCTTGCACACCCCTACTGGGGATCTGCCCGCAGCTAAGGTACATGCCCTTGACCGGAATCGAACCCGGGACCCTTCAGTCCCCAAGCCGACGCTCTATCCATTGAGCCAAACCGGTCCCGACAAGACACACACACTTTCAATTTGCTGGCTTTTGAACACTCAGATACAGAAGCTAAAGGGAGCCTTTGTTAGTGGGGTCCAAGGCTTAAGCGTTACCATCTTCTATTTGAAAGTCTGAAGGCCACAAAGAATGGTTGTCATTTGTTCCTTTCAACATGATTAAACTTCATTACTAGTAAATATATGGTACATTCCTACATTTGGAGGTTTAACAAGGTTTTACGTAAAACTTAAATTTTCTTACCACTCTAAGAGATTCTCAATTAACTCTTGAATATAATAGCCTGAGAAAAATGTTTTAAACAAGTCAGGAGTTTTATAGCTACTTTAAGTTTATAAATTAAATTATAAGATTTAATATATACATACACACACACACACATATATACTTTTATTGATTTCAGAGAGCAGAGAGGAAGTAAAGGGAGAGAGAGTAACATCAATGAGGAGAGAGAATCACTGATTGGCTGCCTCCTGCATGCCCCTCATTTGAGCCCGCAACCCGGGCATGTGCCCTTGACTGGACTTGAACCCTGGACTCTTCAGTCTATAGGCCAACACTCTTACCCACTGAGCCAGCTAGGGCGCAAGGTCTTTCCGCCTCCCTCTCCCCCTGCCCCTTCATTTAGAGTTCAGTCTCTCTAAAACAATTACCACCTTTCTACTAGAGGCTTGTGGAGAGAGGCTCTCAACTATTTCAACTCAACGATTTCAGCAGGGCCATCCCCTAAGCAATTTCCACAGACCTCTATGTTATTCTCCACTTTAAGTAAGAGGAGCCCTGGCACCAATCTATGTCCCGCCTTTGGCTTTAAGAAAGAAAAACCTTGGGTGGTCTCCTTTTACCATGTCAGTCAGCAGTAGCTGCTACCACTGAGTTCTACGGGCCAATAACTCTAGTAAGTATTCAAAAGAATGTATGTTTCTGAAACTAGTTTCCACTCTAGGCCAAAGAGCTATCCCCTATGTGTATTTAAAAATCTGCAACCTGATACAGCTTTCTTAGCTGCTCATTTTTGTATTTAACTTAAATCTATTAAAATAAATACAGATACTAAATCCAAATGGGCTAACCCTTACAACCAATTAATGTAAGATATAAAGTTACAAAGCTGATAGTCAACATTCAATGACTATTCAAACACAGGGACAAAAAGAAATTAGTTTTGCATTATAAAAGCTAAAAGATAATTTTAAGTAAAAAAATTCTTAGAAGAAAACGTTATTTAAAAAATATTAAGTTAGTGTTTCAGGAAAAACTGCCAAATCATTTTTTTTAATACTAAAGTTGCTTACCTAACTCTATACTCATATACTTAGCTTTTCTACTCTTTAATATACTAAACCTTTAAGGAAAAAGCTTAGGAAGCTTACTGCTAAATCATTTCCTTCCTAGAGCTCAGACTGGGTGATGTGTAAGACTGAGAAATTTGAAGAGTCCTTCTTCTTCTTCTTTTTAAAAAATATATTTTATTGATTTTCCACAGAGAGGGAGAGGGATAAAGAGCTAGAAATGTCGATGAGAAAGAAACATCAGCCAGCTGCCTCCTGCACACCCCCCACTGGGGATGTGCCCGAAAACAAGGTACATGCCCTTGACCAGAATCAAACCTGGGACCCTTCAGTCCGCAGACCGTCGCTCTATCCACTGAGCCAAACCAATTTCAGCAGAAGAGTCCTTCTTTTAACACATTCTCAGATGGAATATTCAAAGAATAACACCTACCTTACTTATTCTCTATGAACAAAACAAAGTTTTATAACCACCATTTTAAAGCTTATATATTTACTTAAACAATGCTTTAATCCTTTAAGTCTACTTAAACACAAAGGTCTTAACTTGTACATAAGTTTCATTAGTAGAAGAATTTTTCTCCTTATCTGTCAGGAATTTTAGACTAGAAAGCATAGTAAAATTTCTTCCTCAAATATTGATGTAACCAATGTTAAATAAAAAACATGTAAAAAAATGAAATGCACACTTACCTTAGTTCTATAAAACAGTCTTGCATCTTCCCTAATATCACACTTAACATGCTTTTCCAAAGCCCCACAGAGGTGCACAAAGTGTTTCTGTGCAAAACAAATGCAAGAAATGAGAACTCTGAAGCATTAAAAATCACTAAAACTCAAAAGCATTTAAAAATTTACCATTCTCCAGTTAGCAATTTCTGATTTAACCATCCAACACAATAATCGTATGAAAATAATAACTGCCACAATATGGCTGTTATGGTTTATTGCTAATTAATGTAAAAAGATATACACAATAATAGCTTGGCCAGTGTGGCTCAGTGTTAACCTATGAACCTAGAGTTCACAGTTCAATTCCTGGTCAGGGCACATTCTTGGGTTGCAAGCTTGATCCCCAGTGTGAGATGTGCAAAAGGCAGCTGATCAATGATTCTCTTTCATCATTGATGTTTCTATCTCTCTCTCCCTCTCCTTTCTTCTCTGAAATCAATAAAAATATATTTAAAAAAAGATATACGCAAAAATAAACGAGCTATTTATTCATATTGAAGCACATTAATGGAAATTAATTCCAGAGCCCAGATTGTGCTGCAATGTGTTAAGTCCTTCAACACATTTTTTCATGAAATATTCAAGTAGCAGCTAACATATTTTTCTCTATAAACTATTTTAATAGTTTCTGAAAAATTGTTTTACCACAATGCGTTATCACCTCACACCTGTCAGAATGGCTTTCATGAATAAAGCAATAAACAAGTGTTGGTGAGGATGTGGAGAAAGGGAACCCTTGTGCACTGTTGGTGGGAATAGATTGGTGCGGCCACTGTGGAAAGCAGTATGGAATTACCTCAAAATTAAAAATGGGTCTGCTTATCACCCAGTGATTCAACTTATGGGAATTTATCTGAAAAAAACTGGAAACACTAATTTAAAAAAATACATGCACCCCTATGATCATTGCAGCACTTTTTATTGATTTCAGAGAAGAAGGGAGAAACATCAATGATGAGAGGAAATCATTGACCTATTGTCTCCTGTATGCCCCCTATTGGGGACCAAGCCCACAACCTGGGCATGTGCCCTTGACCAAAATCGAACCTAGGACCCTTCAGTCCGATGCTCTATCCCCTGAGCTAAACCAGCTAGCGCTCATTGCAGCATCCTTTACAATGGCCAAGATTTGGAAGCAGCCCAAGTGTCCATCAGTAGATGAGGGGATAAAACGGCTGTAGTACATTTACACAGTATACCATACTACTGGACCATAAAAAGAAAGAAAACTTTACCATGGAGACAGCATGGATGACCTAGAGAACATTACATTAAGTGAAATAAGCCAGTCAGAGAAAGACAAGTACCATATGAAGAAGTTAATAAACAAACTACCAAGCAAAATAAAGAAAGACTCATAGAGCGCAGGCAGGGGTGCTCTGATGGGCAAGGTTGTTGCAGCGGTTGGGGGCGGGGGAGTGGGAGGGAGAGAAAAGGGTTGAGCAAAAAAGAAAAATTAAATGTCTTTCAAGTTTTAGAAGTATATAGTCTAAAACAGTCACTCTCATATATATACTTAGGTTGAATATACTAAGGTAAGAATGCAAATAGACACTTTAAAAAGGTTTTTATTTTGACTGGCTGGCGCAGCTCAGTGGTTGAAAGTCGACTTGTGAACCAGGAGGTTGAGGTTCAATTACCAGTCAGGGCACATGCAGGGGTTGCAGGCTCGATTCCCAGTGTGGGGTGTGCAGGAGGCAGCCAACTGATGGCTCTCATCATTGATGTGTGTCTCTGTGTCTGTCTGTCTGTCTGTCTCTCTCTCCTTCTCCTTTAAAGAGGGAGAGGGAAACATTGATGTGAGAGCAAGACACCAATCGACAGCCTGCTGCACACCCCACAACTGGGAGTTGTGCTTGCAACCTTTTTCATTTCATGGCACATATAAACTAATTAATAAAATTATGAGGCACACCAAAATATATATATTTTTGCGGACTGAGGGATCCCAGGTTCGATTCTAGTCAAGGGCATGTACCTTGGTTGCAGGCACATCCCCAGAGGGGGGATGTGCAGGTGGCAGATGATTGGTGTCTCTCTCATTAATGTTTCTAGCTCTCTATTCCTCTCCCTTTCTCTCTGTTAAAATCAATAAAATACAAAAAAAAGAAAAAAAGAAAAAAAAGAAAATCACTGTTATACAGCAAATCCAAAGTTAACTTTTATTAAATTTTCTCCTATATAAAGAATTTTCATAAATTGGTACATGGGAACAGTATGGACGTTTCTTTCCCCCCGCTCCTCCCCCAAATAGAACAGAACTAACATATGACTGAACAATCACTCTTTTGGGTATCTACCCAAAAAATCTGAAAACACTTGTAAAGATATATGAATTCCTATGTTCACATGGAGGCCAAGACATGGGAACAACCTAAGTGTCCTTCGATGAATGACTGGATAAAGATGTGGTACACATATACAGTGGAATACTACTCAGCCATAAGAAAAGATGAAATACTGCTATTTGGGACAACATGGATGGATCTTGAGAGAATCATACTAAGCAAGTCACACAGAAAAAGAAACATATGATTTCACTCATGGAGATATAAAACAGAAAGCAACAAATGGACAAACAAAACAAACAAAAACTCAGAGACAGACAACAGGTTTCCAGAGGAGAATGGAGGTGGAGGGAGGTATGTGAAGAGGGTCAAATATGTAGTGACAGATGATTTGACTTTGAGTGGTGAACACACAATGCAATATTCAGATAATGTATTATAGAACTGTACACTTAAAAAATGTTTTTTTTTTATTTTTTAAATATATTTTATTGATTTTTTACAGAGAGGAAGAGAGAAAGATAAGAGAGCCAGAAACATCGACCAGTTGCCTCCTGCACACCCCCCAATGGGGATGCACCCACAACCTATGTACATGCCCTTGACCGGAATCGAACCCGGGACCTTTCAGTCTGAAGCCCGACGCTCTATCCACTGAACCAAACCGGTTTTGGCAATGTTTTTATTTATTTATTTAATTAATTTTATTTTTAAAAATATATTTTATTGATTTTTTTACAGAGAGGAAGGGAGAGAGATAGAGAGCTGGAAATGTCAATGAGAGAGAAACATTGATCAGCTGCCTCTTGCACACCCCCTACCGGGGATGTGCCCGTAACCAATGTACATGCCCCTAACCGGAATCGAACCTGGGACCTTTCAGTCCTCAGGCCGACGCTCTACTACTGAGCCAAATCGGTTTCGGCAAAATGTTTTTATTGATTTGGAGAGGGAGAGCTAGGAACATCGATGAGAGAGAAACATCTACTGGCTGCCTCTTTCACGCTCCCTAGTGGGGATCGAGCCCAACACCTGGGCATGTGGCCCTGACTGGGGATCGAAACTGTAACTTCTTGGTTCACGTGTTGATGCTCAACCTCTGAGCCACACCAGCTGGGCAAAACTTATCTCATTAACCAATGTCATCCCAATTAGTTTAATACAATTAATAAAGAATGTTCATTCATTCATTCCATCAATAGTGACATTTATCGATATTAAAAACAAAAACTATTTAAAACTACTTACCCGTTGATCAGAAGGAAAAGTATGGGAACAACTAACTTCACCAACTAAATGAAGAAGAATGTAGGTCAGGTAATATGCCTATTAGAGAAATGAATAAAATGAACACCCATGAAATTGGCTAGCATAGATATCACTCTAGTTTACACATTGGGAAAGCTGCCCAGGAAGGATTAAGGATTTGCTAAAGTAAATTGAGTCAGTAAGTATGAAAAAGCCATGCAATTAACCCAGGCTTTCTGATTTCTAACACAAGTGCATTTTACCTCACAACTGCCCAAGTAAAGGGCTACAAAAAAATACTCCCAGTGCTAAATTAGCAATAATCATCCTTTTTTTTTTTTTTTTTTAACCTCGATTACAAATCTCAAGTTTACTGAAGAATTTTACTGAAGAATGTTACTGAATGACAGTAACATGCACTTTATAGCACTCTCTAAATGCTATGCTGTGTCAGTCTATGGTTAGGAAGGTGGCATCAGCCATGCTCAAATGTATTCTTTTTGAGATGATCTAACTTCAGATACCTGCTTTTCAAGTTCCAAATGAAGACTGTCATCAATGGTGCCATTTGGTTGTTCAGCCCTTTTCTTCAAGACCATTTTCTTCAATAAATCAGAAGGCTTCATTTGTACAAGATACCGATGTAGGACTGATATCTATCAAAAGAAAGACATTGAGTAATATTAAGCAATACAATTGTTCTTTCTCAGGCTATTTTTTTTTTTTTTTTTTTTTTTTTTTTTTTAGTGTGTCCTCCATTCATTTTGACTTCTCTAGTTTTGGCCCTTTAACTGATACCAATTTCCCTTCTATTTTAAAGTCCTCAATTGCTTAAAAGGGATTTTAAAGATTAGAACTTATAATTGATAAAAGCTTAAGGAGAAGACCAAATGGCATTATAATAGAGATCAAAGAGAGTGTATTTTCTGTGAAATTATTTGAAAGTCAGCAAAATTGAATCTCTCTATGAGTAGAAGTCACTGAATTTTTTAAAGGATTCCCTTTTGATAGCTGTAAATATCACTAAAAAGACTGAGAAATATTTGATAATGACCCTGGTGACTCAGAAGTGGTCCCCAGGTATCTGGAATCAAATTTACCTCAACTCCACCAATGCATCTACTTGTTTCAATCTCTGTCCCATAGCACCTGTGCACTCTTCTATCACTGCTCTTACTACACTGTACCACAACGTTGTTTTCTGTTTGTTTGATTCAATGACTTAGGTTATGTTTTCAAGGGCAGAGTCTCTAATTCATCCCCTTCCCCTCCAGATTATCTTGTACCAAATTGCAATTCACACAAGAGCACTACACCTAAATCTGGTTCTATGTTGACTTTTCAAATATAACTATGAGTAGTCCCATTATTACTATTAATGTTTGAAAAAAGCCTTCAGGACTTCTCAGAGTAGAACTTGCCAAGGACATGTTTATACACACTCGTGTATCTATGTGTATATGGGCACTGAATGAAGGGCAACAACATTTAAGCTCTACAATTTAAAGACTAATATTAAAACAGGTATAAGATGCAGTTAATGTACAAGAGTTTTGCAATTTCTAATCTTGTGATAAAATTGCTAACCTTGATGAGTTAATTTAATAAATGACATCATATATAGCACATTATGGTTTTCCTAGCAGATTTTATATACTACATCTAAATTAGTGATCGCCAACCAGTGGTCTGTGGTGGTCCATGAGGTCCAAAAGGTTGGTGACTGCTGATCTAAATGTCCACAACAATCCTATGGAGATAGTAGAGGGTGTGATACTATCTCCATTTCACAAATGAAGAAACGAAATCTCATTAAGTATTATCCTAAAGATTACATAAATAGTACCGTGTTTTCCCGAAAATAAGACATCCTCCGAAAATAAGACGTACTCACAGGTTTCCTTCTGAGTGAAATATGAGGCATCCCCTGAAAATAAGGCCCCCCTAGACTAAACATGAGAGATTTGGTCCACTGATTCTGAAAGAAATGGAGTCACCAGAAATTCACCAGGAAATTCAGGAATTGGATTGTTATGATGTTCCAGAAGATGATGACAGGATTGTCATAGAATAAATGAGTAAATTCTTGATACTGTAGGATTCACAGTTTGTCTTGTTGACAACTACTGTACTACCATACTACCGTATACAGGTAATAAATTTCCTTTATTTTCATTTAACAATAAATGTGTACCATATTCTTCTTCATGAAAAAATAAGACATCCCCTGAAAAATAAGACCTAGCACATCTTTGGGAGCAAAAATTAATATAAGATACTGTCTTATTTTCGGGGAAACAGGGTATTATATCTGAGAGTTGAGATTTAATCCCAGGACTTTTGACTAAGGATCCATCAATTTTCCCTACACTTTATTACTTCTTCCATTTACTAGGAATACAAAAATGTTATTTATACCTGCAGATTATTGGCGTTAGGGATATCTTCACATTTCTCATCCAAAAGCTTTGAAATAATCACTAGGCTGAGGCACTGTCTCAGTTGCCTGAAATTACAATTTTAGAATGTATTTTAATCAATACTATTTGAGAAGCAGATGAATGAGCCAAAAGTTCTTCTAGTCCTGCTAACATATAAGCTTAAATAGAATAGTAAACGTTTCATATAAAATATTTGTACATAAAGTTAAGAGTTGCCTTAGTGTCAGAATCAAGCTGTCAATGCATTTTCCCAGAGCTAAATATGAAATAAGAGACTCAGATCTAACACTTAAGGTATGTTAAAAGGAAATAAAGGTCCCCAAAATATTTTGTTAATGTAAACATTATACATTTTAAAATATATTTTTATTGATTTCAGAGAGAAAGGGAGAGGGAGAGAGAGACACACACACATCAATGAGAATCACTGATTGGCTGCCTCCTACACACCTTCAACTGGGGGTGAGCCCGAAACCAAGGCAATTCCCCTGACTGGGAATGGAATCGTGATCTCTTGGTTCATAGGTCGATGCTCAACTGCTGAGCCACATCGGCTAGACAACACTATACATTTTTAAATGTTTAATTCTCACTTTTCAATACCTTCCATGGGATGTCCAGTTAGGGACCAGCTGTACCAACCACAGAAGGTTGTGGGGATGACTGGAGAGTTCATTAATGGCCAAACAGAGTTCAGGCATCTGAAAACAAAGAATAAGATTTTTCAAACAGTTCAGTGGAATCAAATATCTAACAGATCATCTACAATGATCTTGCCATAGTGGAAGCATTATTATGAAAAGAGCACTCATTTTTATAAACAGCATGGAGTCTAGTACTTGCTAAAATGTACATAGTACACAGATTCAATTTTATCTTAAACTATCGAACAGTCTGAACAGATGCCTATCTATGTGTACTTAAATATTCCTTCTTGGAAAAATAAAGTGATTTGAATACAAATACCAGATCCCAAAGATGTACAATGAGAGTTGTAAGAGACTGTATATCTTCCTGGACCGAGATTCCTTGCATTTTAAGGATCCTTCGCTATTCCAGTATTTATAATCTAACAGAATTGCTTCAAAATAATCCCTGAGTAGGGTAAAGAAATATGGGGGAGGGGGAAATTACAGATGAGACAAGATATTGTCTTAATAAGAAAGCTGGGTGATAGGTAGGTAGGGGTTCATTACACTTTATTCTATTTTTACTCTTTGAAATTTTTCACCGAAAAGCTTGAAAAACATAATTTTTAAATCTAAAAAAGTTATACATGTTTAGCCTCAATATGGCTGCAGAAGTTCAACTTATATTCTTGTATGTATAACTCACTCCATCATTTCTTTTCGGTCTCTGCTTAAAGGTCACTCTAGAAGGGCATTCCTTGACTGCCTTGCTATTCTCTATACTCATGTCTTGCTTTATTTTTATTTGTAGCCCTATTATAACTTGACATATTATATTCTACATTTACGTTTTATTTATTTTTTAAATATTTCTTTATGATTTCAGAGAGGAAGGGAGAGGGAGAAATAGACATCAACGATGAGAGAAAATCACTGATCAGCTGCTTCCTGCATGTGCCCTTGATTAGAACTGAGCCCGAAACCCTTCAGTCCGCAGGCCAACACTCTATCAACTGAGCCAAACCAGCTAGGGCAACTTTCTATATTATATAATGCTCTGAATAGGGTAAAACTACCATGAGGTTAAGAGCTTTGTCTTTTTTAACAGATGTATCTCTAGCATCTATATTAATTCCCCAATAAACACATTTGGTGTATGTGTGTAAAAAATAGTTTTAGAGATGACTCAGTTATAACTAAATAATATAGTTCAGCAAAGACAGTCCTTTCCTTAGTTTATTTTTCATTTGCCCAAGATCTTTTAAAAAAAAAAAAATATATTTTATTGATTTTTTTACAGAGAGTAAGGGAGAGGGATAGAGTCATAAACGTCCATGGGAGAGAAACATCAATCAGCTGCCTCCTGTATACCTCCTACTGGGGATGTGCTGCAACCAAGATACATGCCCTTGCCGAAACTGTGGATAGAGTGTCGGCCTGCGGAAAAGTCCCAGGTTCGATTCCAGTCAAGGGCATGTACCTTGGTTGCGGGCACATCCCCAGTAGGGGGTGTGCAAGAGGCAGCTGATCGATGATTCTCTCTCATTGATGTTTCTAACTCTCTATCCCTCTCTCTTCCTCTCTGTAAAAAATCAATGAAAATATATTAAAAAAAAAAAAAAAAAAAAAAAAAAGATACATGCCCTTGACCGGAATCGAACCTGGGACTTTTCAGTTCACAGGCTAACGCTCTATCCACTGAGCCAAACCAGCTAGGACCTGCCCAAGATCTTAACTGAGCTTAGAAACTGTACTGCTGTGAAAGTAAAATTTGGATGTTACACAAGAAAACCAATACTAAACTTTTAAATAATTACCTTTGTGTTCCAATCTCTGATGTTTTTCATCAGGTTTATCAGGAGACTTTGAAAATCCACTAGAGGAATCTGCTTTAGCTGTTTTTCCAAACTCATTTTAAATAACATTAAAATCAGCAACATTATTTCGTGATCCTGGTAACCTTCTGGATGTATTGATGTACATAAGCCTAGAAACTTTGATAAAAATGCAGAGACAAAGCTACTTGAGATAAATTTTACTTAAATAGTTTAAAATAACAACTTTTAAATAAAAAATGCAAAAGAGAATTGTGTAGAAAACAAAACATCAGTTGCCTAGGAAAAAAAATACCCATGTTAGTTGAATTAGGTGATAGGATTAAGTATTTTCTTCCACATTTTCTCTTTTTCAAGATCTTCCTTTTTCTTTCTTTTTTTTTTTTTTTTACATATGTTTTTATTGATTTCAGAGAGGAAGGGAGAGGGAGCAAGAGATAACAATGACAGAGAATCATTGATTAGCTGCCTCCTCCACGCCCCCTACTGGGGATTGAGCCTGCAAGCCAGGCATGTGCCCTTGACGGGAATTGAACCTGGGATACTTCAGTCTGCTGAACCAGCTAGGGCTCAAAATTTTCTTAATGGTGTAATATCATTGATTTGGTGTAATATCATTCTTAGTCACTGAGCTATATTGTAAATTTTCTTCATACATCTGAATTCTAAAAAAATTATTGGTTTAAAGATATTAGTTTCAAAAAGGTTCTTGGTAAAGTATTCCTAGGACTATGTTAAATATATACTCTGATCTAAAGATCTCCTTCACTCCTAATATTAAAAACTAAAATAAAAACAGCAAAAATTATCTTTAAAACAAAGATTATTGCTAAGAAATTTCAGAGACTGGAAATCACCTGGTAAAACACTAGTGATTTTGTTTTAAAACCATTATCCACAAAAGTAAATGGTTCTGGCTCTGAGTCAGACACACATAAGTGTTTTACCTACCTTAACTACATTTAAAATGTTGGTTTCAGGAAGAGTTGAAAAAATCGGCTTACAAGATGAATCTTCACTTCCTTTCCCCCCCAATGTCATTTGTGTTTCAGAACTATGGAAAATAAAGCAAAAATGAAATTAGGTACAATATAATAATAAGAATTATAACATAAAAATGTATATTATATTGAGGCATAATTTATATTCAATAAGGGGAATATGCCCATTTTAAGTTTTGATAAATATATACTAGTGTAACCACCATCCAAATCAAGAAACAGGACATTTCCATTACTCCTAAAAGTCCTTCTTGTCAGATGCAAGTCAATCCACTTTCTCTCACTCCAGGTAAATACTAATTTGATCTCTATCTGTATGCATTAAATTTTTCCTTGAACAACTACTTATTATAAGGCACTATCCTCATTACTTTTGGTATCAGAGAGTTATGTAGATGATGGCTCTGACTACAAAAAGAACTCTTAATATTTAAAAGCCTCCTATGACTTAAAAGAAACTGCCACAGCAATATAAAGAAACAACTGTAAGCCTCCCCATTGAAGTAAGTGAAGAGGAGACACATGAACTTGGCCTTCAAAAGACAGGTAAGATCTGGCTGGGTAGCTCAGTTGGATCCTGTACATCAAAAGGTTGTGGCTTTGATTTCTGGTCAGAACATATGCCTAGATTGAGGGTTCCATCCCTGGCAGGGCATGTATTGAGGCAATTGATTGATGCTTCCTTCTCTCTCTCTTAAATCAATAAAAAGCATACACTTAGGTGATTTAAAAAAATATATTTCCTTGTTTAATCTGATTAAAAAGTCAAGAGGTATCCAGATACAGTATGCTGTGAAGAATTATACTCCCAATCTAGAGTATAAAACCATCACTTCTACTTTTAGTCCTTTTTTCCCACAAGTGTTTTATGCATATACAAATAAATATGAATATTCCCCACCACACACACACACCTGTAATACCAATGTTAGCATATTATATACTACTCTGTTATGCACATCTCTTTTTTCACTTAATATATATCATGGAGATGCTTGCATATCTGAAGAACTTTTTTATTTTTATTTATTTATTTATTTAAAAAAATATATTTTATTGATTTTGTACAGAGAGGAAGGGAGAGAGATAGAGAGTTAGAAACATCGAGGTGAGAGAGTCATCAATCAGCTGCCTCTTGCACACCCCCTACTGGGGATATGCCAGCAACCAAGGTACATGCCCTTGACTGGAATCGAACCCGGGACCTTTCAGTCCCCAAGCCGACGCTCTATCCATTGAGCCAAACAGGTTTCGGCAGAACTTTTTATTTTTTAAATATCTGCTTGGTAGTCCTGTTTCCCTTTCTAGCTTTACACCTTAGGCAAGTTACTTAATATGTTTCTATGCCTGACTTACTCGTAAAATGGGAATGAAAATACAGTTAATATTTTGGCAGAGAAACACTTAGTTCCAGAGGCTGGAACTAAGGGGTCAGTCTGAAGAAGAACTAATGCAATAATGGCTAACGTATAGAAAGAACAAGCAGATATTTTGGCTAGAACAAAGTGAGAGCAAAACAGAAAACAGGTAAAATATCATTACTGTGTTTTTGAATTTTAAAAAAGTTTCTATTTTTCCCTTGTTAAACATGATGGCTTTAGATGAAGATAGAGTTTAATGTATCTAATTCAAGATCCATTTGAACTTTGAAAGATTTTTTTTAAAAAAAATCAAGAATGGATATTCAAGTTACTAAAAGAATGACTATTAACTATTCTTATATGAAAATTGTTTAAAAGAATGTTTTTGGCATTAATTATGAAGAGAAAACTTACACTAGATTGTCTTCATTAAAGTCTGGCTGAAGTTTCTCCAGAGGAAACAAAAATCTAAAATCAATTCCCATATTGAAAAACACAGCTGCTATATCAGACAATGATGGGATCCAAGGCCAAACTGGTGAATCACTGAAGGTATCTAGCAGAAGAAAATATTTTATCTGAGTTCACAAATTCACAGTTGCAAGATAGTCTGCATGTGAAACATGGGTTATTATAATGATTTTATATGACAACTGGTAATGATATGTTAACAATATAGTTGTATAGAATGATCATACAAAAATTACAAAATTTCAAATAAATATGAAAGAAATGACATTTATGAACAAAGTATCTGAGAGAGGATGGATAAAAGGGTGTAACTCAGGAGGAAGCAATACATTTTGAAAAGACAGAAATAACAATGGTAGAATACCAACTACTATTCGCACAGGGTGATTTTACCATCACCAGTGCCTATGTGTCACAATCCTCAAAACAAGTAAGACAGCTAGATCACAATGCTTGTTTCATTATAAGAGATCGCAAAGGTTTAAAAAAGCAATTGTCAATTTTGCAGTAGACACTATCAATTGCTTTAGTGCACAATCAGTATAATACTGTGGCTCACCAAGAGCCAATTAAAGTTAATTGACTAAATAAATAAGCTTGCAACTATTTCTACTTACCTAGCACAGTAAGCCATGACTTGGTAAATATTAGGTAAGGGCTGCCACTTGCAACATCTTATACAACTAGAAAAATGCAGATACTCATTTTTGGTGGCGTTTCATTATTAAAGACTTTAGATTACAAAAATAACTTTTATTCTATATTCCCAAATATCCTACTAGTAATTTTCAACAATACAAAAAAGACCATTCACATATCAGCCAATAATTCATACTGCTAATTACCATTATATACTCACCATTTCTAATTGTTATTTCCATCAATGTACTTAAAATCTGCACGGACACAATACAGTCTGTATGAACTGACATCATCTAAGTAGATGAATGACAGAGTATTAAGGAGAAGAAAGAAAACATAAGCATTTACTATTTGCCAGCCACATATACAACAGGTGTTTTATGTGCATTTCTTTGAATACTTATAAAAACCTTAGGAAGTGGTCATACATCACACACAGGAGCAAATAGGCTCGAAGAGATTAAATACTCTACCCAGCGTAATACATGAGCAGCTGGAATTGAAATCCAGGTCTCATTCTGAAGTCAGGGCCTTTTCCATTCTCACATATTTTTAAAACCTTCTTTTATAATAAGACAAATACAACATTTGAAACTATAAAATAATAATTTTTGAGTCCCACTTCTCACTTCATATATCATAGAGTTCTCTGATATCACTAGATATTTATAAAGTTACTATATGGATAATACAAAATTTAAGATAATTATTTGAGGTGGATTTAATAGTTAGATATGAGGAGAAACATTCCATTTGATTTACATTAAAAAGAAATGAATAGGGAAAGATGTCAAGTCAAATCCTAAAAATGTATGCAGGCACCTCTATAAAAATGGGGCAAATACCCCTGGGTACGTAAGCATTAGAAGATATTTCTGAAACTAAGTATAACAGTGATTTAATAATGTATGTCCCAGGTACAACATTATTGACTATCCTTCACATTACCTGCATTAGTATTTTCTTTATAATCTTTGTAGATGGATTCTTTCTTTTTAAAAAAAATATATATTTTATTTATTTTTACAGAGACGAAGGGAGAAGAATAGAGAGTTAGAAACATCAATGAGAGAGAAACATCGGTCAGCTGCCTCCTGCAAACCCCTTACTGGGGATGTCCCCGCAACTAAGGTACATGCCCTTGCCCAGAATAGAACCTGCAACACTTTCAGTCCACAGGCTGATGCTCTATCCACTGAGACAAACTGGTTAGTGCTATATTGATTCTTTTGCCTCATTCTAATCCACTGAAATTATGGATTTAATGTGTTACAGTAGTTTTTTTCTCTACTAACCCTATATAATAAAGGCTAATATGTTAATAGACCGATCGGCCAACAACCGGAACCATCGAACAACTGATCACTAAGATGTGCACTGACCACCTCGGGGCGTGTACCAAACATGGCAGGCGTTGGCTGGGGCAGGATGGTGGAGCAGGTGAGCAGGGGCACTAGACCAAGAGAGGGCACCAGTCACTGTCATTAGGGCAAGCCTCTGGGTGGTTACTGAAAATACTTTGTTCCTGCATGCTGTGGTCCTACCCAGCACTTGCACCGCTGCCAGTGCTCAGTGCCAGTCTGATCATTTGGTGCCATCAGCAGGTGCGAATGGCAGCTGCCGGCACTGATTACCCTTGAGGGCTTCTCCCCCTCCCTCTGCTCCTGAGGGGCAAATGGGGCAGCAGCCACCACTCAAACTCACTGATAGTACTGGCCCCACTCTCACCTGCTGCTGGCGCTGGCCCCAATCACTCCTGCCATAGTCAGCGGGTGTGAGAGGGGTCATCACTGTCAGTGCATGGGAGCTGTGGTAGCGGGAGTGGGGCTGCCAGCAGATGGGACTGAGGACTGTGGTAAAAGGGATTGGGAGGGGTCACAGAAGATGGGCCGAGACCCACCCCTGTGTTCACCGAAGCCTCTTGGCCCATAGCTCCTTTCAAGGTGCACAAATTTGTGCACTGGGCCCCTAGTGTTCAAATAAGATTATATTTTAAAAGTTTGCTTTTGACCAAGAAATACAGTTGGAAGCAATAGTCCTCAAACATTTTTCTTACCCGAAACAGCCACTTTAACACAGGTACAGGACACTGGACATAGTGATAAGCAGAAGTAAGAAAGCCTTGTGTCGTCAAAAAAATCTGATCGGTTTTTCCTGATCTGAAAAAAATAAAGTAGACTCAATATGACTGTTGACAAGAAACTTCTATCATCATATCTGACATAATCAGGGAACTGAGCAAGCAAACCATCCTTAAGTCCATCCTTGGGTAGATTCCACTACAATGGTTAGATTATTTATAAAACATATTCAATTGATGGTCTAAAACTGATCCAATCTGTTGGCTTGGCTCTAGATTTATTTATTGGATAGATCTACATTAGCTGGCAGTGTTTATCAACAGGAAAGGTCTATCAAGTCTCAGGACATGATCTGCTTTTGCTAGCTTGGGTTTGTACTTTCATAAAACTCAGCACCAGAATTAATGCGATCTCTCTGGATCTGAGATATCATGCACTGAGAGAAATTAGCTTTGTGGTAATTCCAGAGAAAAGCATGGTAATAGAGACTGCTAATTGCCTATCCCAATATGTATCCTTGCCTCTCCTCTTGATATCCAAACTCTGATTTTTAGCTGCCTGAAATAAAAATCATTCCCAGCCTTCCCTATAGGTAGGTATGGCCATGTTGACTAGGCTCTATTCAACTAACCATAACTAGAAATGTTGTGTGGGATTTCCGAAAAATTGAATGCAAAGGCTGGAGCTCCAGGAACACCTAACGAAACTAATTGCAAAGGATGGTGAAGAAGAAAGATTATATGGTGAAACTCCAGCTCTGGACATCCTATCTTTGAATTCTTTCATATAAAAAAAAATTTTTTTAAGCCCCTGTTAATGTTTCAAAAATAATTCTTTATTGTTGAAATTATTACTTATGTCCTCTTATTTCCCCCCATTGACCTCTCCAGCTCCTCCCCTGCCTCAAGCCCCAGGCTCTCATTGAGCCCTTGTCCGTGCCCATGAAGCCCCTATTATTTTAATAGTCACTGTTATTATATACTGACTATAGGCCCGATGCACGAAATTCATGTAAGGGTAGGCCTTCGCAGCCCCAGCTGCCTTGGCTGCCTCTGAGGCCTCATGGCTCCACTCCCCTCCCACTGGTCATTCTGCTATCCGGTCTAATTAGCATATTAGCTCTTTATTATATAGGAGGATCTTATCCTAACTAATAAAGGCATGTGATGTGCCAAATGACTATATTATACTGTGTCCTATCCTCCTATATAATAAAAGTGTAATATGCCAAACAATGGAATGACCAGTGAGTGCCCCCTCCCCCCGCCCCACGGGGCTGGCAAGCAGGTGGCGCCAGGCCAGCCAAGGTACGTGCCAGCAGGCAGAGAGAGGGGGAAACAGGGACTGGCATCATCACCTGATTGCCAGCCTGATGAGGGAAGCCATGGATGGTGGCACCAGTGGGGTGATACAGGGCAGGGCTGGCAGCTCGCTCTGCTCAGGCCCGCTGGGGTCGGGATTGCCTCACACGGGGGAGGCTACTGGCAGTGGTAACACAATGGGGGGCAGGGCTGGCCACTCATCGCCTGCACAGCCCTGAATGGCCCTCCAGTCACCTCCTGTAGAGGGAGGCCATGGGGAGTGGACCTAAGCTGTCAGTGGGACATCCCAAGGGCTCCTGGACTGCAATAGGGCATAGGCTGGTCTGAGGGACCCCTTCTTCCCCCACCCCTCAGTGCACGAATTTTCATGCACCAGGCCTTAGTAATTAAATAATAAAATACAAAGGGCAAGAGGGAAGTAATTGTAGTAAGGAAGAGAATTAAGAAACTGGATGGGTCATTAACAGAAATTAATCTTTTAGAAGGTTACATTAGTCAGAATCTTCGAGTTATTTTTATATGTAAAAAAGTAAAATGTCTGTTTTTCTACTTACTTAAGAATAAGCTTTTCTGCAGCATTTTGTCCAATAAAACCAGAGTCTCTTAAATCCAAGGTATACTGATTGAAAATTTTTCCGGAATTGAGTAAATTAAATATTTCTTCACCTGGATGATGATCAGGAATAGCATCAATTGTAATTGAAAATTTCTTTAGAAATTCCCTGAAATTAAAAAAAGTTATTGATTAACAAACAGTTATACTGCATTTAAATTTATATTTAAAAGTTGAGTGTAAAACAAACTTTTCTTAGGACTAATGTAATTCTAGATTAGAAGACTGGCATAAAAACAGGTGTTTTGCTCCTCTCACTTTTTGCAAACTAGTTTATTAGTCCAAAGCCACTAAATGTGTGTGAAAAGAAATAATCAGGAGGAAAGACAAATGTAACGTGGCCTTAACATTTGCCTTTCAAATCCATCACAGATGGATTAGAAACCCATCAGAGATTATCCACCAAGTAAATAACCATCAATTGCCCAATTATTTTATAAAGAAAAAACTTAAAAGTGTATAAACTTAACAGGATATATATTATGAAAAAACAGTATACCTGTGCTCTTCTAAGAGGCCATCCTCATCATCGGTACTGTCTTGATCTCCAATTCTGATTGGGGATTTAATGCCTCGGCCCTGCCTAATGTCTTCCTGTAGTTGCTTCTGTAGTTCATCTAGCCTGAGAATTGAAAGAATGTTATAATAAATGGCTTTCCCTAAAAATAAAAATAAACTTTAGTAAAACTCTTATTAAGTACTAGAGGCCTGGTGCATGGATTCATGCACCAGTGGGGTCCCTTGGCCTGGCCTGCGGGGATCGGTCGAAACTGGCTCTCCGACATCCCGAAGGGTCCTGGATTGTGGGAGGGTGTTTCTCGAGTGACACACCCCAGGATGGATGTCACCTGAGAACCACAGCTGCTAAGTCACTGCAGCTGGGCAGCTCCTGCGTTGAGCATCTGCCCCCTGGTTGTCAGTGTGCATTATAGCTACTGGTCGGAGCATTTGCCCCCTAGCGGTCATTGCATGTCATAGCTATCAGCCAGTGGCTTAGGCTTTTATATATAGAAGTTTACCTTATAACTATAGTTATAAGATAAACTGTTTACACTATGGATTAAATCATGTCTCCCAAATAATTCATGATGTTTAATATAGTATATATTATTTTCATTACACACAAACACACACAAAAAATCAATTTTAGGTCTTAGGCTTTTATCTAGCTACAGTATGATACTAGAATAGTATTCCATCACATAAAATACTTAAATGTTACTTTAAAGCTAGGACTTCAAGAATGATGTCCAAATCATTTTGAGAAAGGGAAGAAAAAAAATGGAAGGAATAATTCAATGTTTAATCTCTAATGCTCATTTGACTTCCAATAGACCAACAACCTGATATTGTTAACTAGGCTTTCTATAGCAGCAGTAGTCATTATTATTGGCATCATCATTATCATCATCATCATCACCACCCAATTCTTACCAAGCACTTGCTATGTGACAGGTACTATACTAACCTTATGTATTGACTTTTTTTTAACCCTCACAACAACCCCATATGGTAGTTCATAATTACCCTTTTTATACATGAGGAAATGGACATAAAAGCTAACTTAATCAAGTTGATAATGTGAGGAGCTGAAATTCAAAGTCAGAGTCTAGCACTAAAGTCCTTCCTTGCTTATATTACTCACCAAGACTATTTTAATGAGGTCCTTGTTCCCAGCTTCAGCCCCATAGTAGATGAGTGTAATATAACAGTAAATGACCAGTAAAATGTACTACTCTATTTCCACAGGAAACAGTCAATCATCATATCAAACTAGCGTCTCTATGTTTGGTAAGAGCAATGTTCAATTTAAATAAGCAACATCAGATTTGACATTACAAATAATATGAATTCATGAAACATTTAAATAATTATATAAAAACAATTCCTCTAATTATACTCAGAAGGGGGAACACTTCTGACCTAGTAAGTAACTGCAATTCCTATATCTAGATATTTAATTATCAGGTTTGAGACACATATAACATCTTCAAGCCAGTTGAGCTTTTAGTGAAGTTCTCGGAGTTCATTTCAAGGATATACTTTGAACTAATAAGGAACATATTTACCCTCTCTCATTAGCAAAAGTAGTTTGCAATTAGTCACATAAATTTCACTGGGGTTATTATTACCCTCAAACTTTTTTATTTCTTTGTGTGTGCATATTGGAGGTGTCAGTCATAACTAAACTTTTCCTTACAAGAGTAGCTTGGTGTATAAATAACAGGTCTAATTATGCTGGTATCAAAACTTAGACTAGGCAGGCATAAACATTTAAAAAAATTTTACCGCCAAAACCGGTTTGGCTCAGTGGCTAGAGCGTCAGCCTGTAGACTGAAGGGTCCCATGTTTGATTCCAGTTGAGGGCACATCCCCAGTGGGGGATGTGCAGGGGGCAGCTGATCGATGTTTCTCTTTCATCGATGTTTCTAACTCTCTATCCCTTTCTCTTCCTCTCTGTGAAAAATCAATAAAATATATAAATTTTTTTTTAACCTATGCTAACAACAAAAACAATCTGATTTAAAAAAATGAGTAGAGGATCTTAATAGACATTTCTCCAAAGAAGCTACAAAAATGCCAATAAGGACATGAAAAGATGCTTAACCTCATTAGCAAAATGAAAATAAAAACCACAATGAGATAACAACTTCCTACTTCTTAGGTTGGCTATTATAAAAAGAAAACCACAAACAGAAAACACCAAGGCTTGGAAGGATATACAGAAACTGGAACCCTTGTGCATTGTTAGTGGAAATGTAAAATGGTATAGCCACTATGTAAAACAGTATGGCAGTTCCTAAAAAAATTATGCATAGAATTACCATATGATCCAGCAATTGTACTTCTGGGTATATACCCAGAATTGAAAGTGGATACTTGAAGAGACATTTGTATATCCATGTTCATGGCAGTAATATTTAAAAGTAAAAAATAGAAGCGACCTCAGTGTCCATTGATGAATGAACAAAATATGGTATCTATATATAATAGATTCAGCCTTACAATGGAAGGACATTTTGACACATGCTACATGGATAAACCCTGAAGATATGCTAACGAAATAAGCCAGTCATGAAAGGACAAATGCTTATAATCCTATTTATATGAGATATATAGTCAATTTCAGAGACAGAAAGTAGAACAATAGTTATACCAGGGGATGGGATGTTACTATATATATTTTATCATAATAAAAAAACACAAAAATTCTAATGCTTTAAAAAAGAAGTTTTTATTAATTACAGAGAGAGGAAGGAGGGAGAGATAGGAACATCAATTGGCTGCCTCCTGCATGCCCCCTCCTGGGGATCAAATGCAAAACCTGGGCAAGTGCCTTGCCGGGGAATAGAACGAGCAATGGGCTGACATTCAACCAATTGAGCCACATCAGCTGAGCTCTACTAAAGCTTTTGATCAAGAATTTCAGCTATCTGCTGAAACCGGTTTGACTTGGTGGATAGAGTGTTGGCCTGCGGTCTTAAAGGTCCCAGGTTCAATTCTGGTCAAGGGCATGTATCTTGGTTGCAGGCACATCCCCAGTGAGGGTGTGTGTAGGAGGCAGCTATTTCTCTCTCATCGATGTTTCTAACTCTATCCCTTTCCCTTCCTCTCTGTAATATATATTTCAGCTGTTAGGTACCAGTTGTGATAAGCAGAAAGAAATTTATGTTAATGGAGTACACCATAAAAAGCTGGAACCTCTGATCCACACTATAAACAAGAATACCTTATTTCTGAAACAGCATGTTAAATTTAGCAAGGTAGTCATGATGCTAACTAACCTTTGTGTGTCTTCCATTTCCTTCACTAGACGCTCTAGAGTATTTGTATAAGTTCCACTATGAACATGTCCCTAAAACAAGAAGAAATTTTAGGAATACTTTATAACATATCTTAGTAGAAGAACTGGGATGTTTTAAGTTATTCAGAGTACTAAAGATATTATCTCTTTCAATAACCTGGGCCAGGAGAATACCTTTCTTAAAAGAGAATTTTCATCATCATGCTTTAAATCTAGTATTTTGTGCTACAGGCAATTTGATTTTTCCATCTACTAGGAAAGGCACTACTTATAAAAAACTGCTAGCCTTAGGAACTGACTGCAAACACCCAAAGGCTCCATAGCTACCTATCTTTATTTTTAAATCCTATTTTAGTGGAATCAAACTGTTAATTTTTAGGTGTTACCATGAACATTAACACCTTCCCCACCAAATTTTACAGACATACTAGAATTTAATTCAGCTTATTCCCAAGATAGAATGAAGCACTTTATAAATAAAATTGCACACCACAATTAACAACATTCTACACTCTACCTTCATTTACAGCAGTGGTCTCCAAAGCAGGGGGTGTGCAAGGTGATCCATTGGGGTGCAGGAAGAAAATAATAGAACTTCTATTTACATGGAACTTCTATAGAAACTCCAGTTGAACTTAGTCTATAGTAACTTCTACATAAAGTCTATAGGAAAATACTTTTTCTTCTTCCTTTAAATTTTTTTTTGCATATTCGTTAGAAAGTACATAGTATAGTGATACATGTATTAACCTATAAGTATACATATACATTGGGGTGCATGCTCAAAAATTGTTTTACTAATAAGTGTGTGTGATCAAGTAAGTTTGGAGACCACTGATTTACAGTAATAAAACTAAAGATATGGGAAACCCATGAACCGAACAAAAACTCTATCAGTTTCAGAGCAATTATGACTCATAACAAATACTGGTTTTAAAAAAGTTCTAACATGCTATCCCTCTTTCATAATCAATCCATCTTTCCCTCTTCGAGTAAAGATAAATGTTATAGAATAACTTACTGTATAGTCTGATGACTGAGATCCAAGCCCCTTGGAAAGAGCAGGAGGCTTTCCAGAAGATGTAGTTCGACTGAAGTTCAGAGCCATTATTTCTTCCAGGGATTTTAATGTTTCCTCTTCCTCATCACTGTCTAGGTTGTAGCCTAAACTTTCTTCATCACTATCAAAACCACCCCTTAGTTTTCTTTTCAGTGCATTGCTACCTGCATTAGAATTTCCTGAACTCTCTTTATCTGAAGGGGCTTTATCTGAAGGTGCTGGGAGACATGGCACAACTTCCAAAGCAGCCGGGGGAGACTTTGTAGGAGTGCCATATTCTGAATGCAAAGATCCCCCTGAAATTTTCCCTGAAGGTACATGAGAATCAGCCTTATTAGTCTTTGCTTTGTGTTCCTTGTGTTTGGAGGACTCTGTAGAATGCCCAGAACATTCTTTAGATGAAGAACGTTCTTTATCTTTTTTAGAATTTAATGGTGTCCGAGAGGAACCAGCACTCGGGTCATGGGAAAGTAAAGGTAAAAGTTTTGTCTCCTTTGATGCCACGGAGCTAGCAGTTTTATTTTTCTGAAGGTTGCTAGCCTTTTTAACTGTAGACTTTTCCTGAGGTAAAGGTAAGTGGGGTTTCTGCATCTTAGTCTCTTTGGTACTTGCCACACGGACTTGGTCACTATTCCTTGAAGAATGGTGGCCAGAATGTGAAGGTGCCAAGCCTGCAGTGGAGCGGTCAGCTTCTTCGTTCGGTTCCTTGGCTATATCTTCCAAGCGCAATACATCACCAGGTGTCTTCAGTGCAATGTGTTTTATAAATTTCTCTTTCTTATGTGGTCCATCAGGACGCTTCTCAAGGAAGGACTCTTTTGCTTTTGGCATTATAGATTCTCTTGTGCTTTTCAGATCTGAGTCCACAGAGTTCCTTTTTCTTTTGTCAGGGAATTTATTCTGCTTAGAGCCTGCTAAAATTTAATTTTTGCTAGATTAGTGAAAACATATTTTTCTATCTTAGTTTACTCAATGTATAGAACAACCTGTCAAATGTTTACAATCTAAAAGTTTAGGCTGAGATTATTCACCATATATGGAATGAAGAAAGAGAGTTAATACTATCATTTCTTTTTAACTGATAAACACTGGTCAGTTCAAAAAATATAAAGCTGATGACAAATGCTTATTTTCATTCCAAAACTATTAAATGTTTACTACCTAAGTAGAATTAAAGGTGTGACTCTCCAAAACATAAAAAACTGTGTATTTGTATCAAGGAAAGGGTTATATACACCCTTTTGTTAGACTAAGGACTACCTGATTCCAGAAATGTAACACTTCTATACTAAATTTATATGACCTTAAAAACACAGATATGGCCGAAACCGGTTTGGCTCAGTGGTAGAGCGTTGGTCTGCAGACTGAAAGGTCCCAGGTTCGATTCCGGTCAAGAGCATGTACATTGGTTGCGGGCACATCCCGGTGGGGGGTGTGCAGGAGGCAGCTGGACGATGTTTCTCTCTCATCGACGTTTCTAGCTCTCTATCCCTCTCCCTTCCTCTCTGTAAAAAATCAATAAAATATATTAAAAAAACAAAACAAAACAAAAAACCCCACACATATGGTGAAGGCAGACACCTTTTAAGCTCTCAATTAAACAAAATAATTTGTCTTTCTCCCTAGTATTTAATTGTTTATCTTTCCCAGGTATTGCTCTAGTCTTCAGCTACGTTATGGGTTGAACTGTGGCTCCTAAAATGATATGTAGAAGTCCTAACTCCCAGAACCTCAGAATGTGACCTTTTACAGGGGGTAATCAAATTAGAATGAGGTCATTAGGGTGGGTCCTAATCTGACTGATGTCCATATAAAAAGGAAAATTTGGACATGAAGACAGACATGCAGAGGGAAGATGACATGAAGACACACAGGGAGAAGATGCTGTGATTGGAGTGATACATCTGTAAGTCAAGGAATGCCAAAGATTATAGGCAAACACAGAAGCTAGAAGAGGCAAGGGAGGATCCTCCCTTAGAGCTGTTAGAGAGACCATGGCCCTACTGATACCCTTAATGTTAGATGTCTAGCTTCTAGAATCATGAGATGATTAATTTCTGTTTTAAGCTACCTATGTTTTGGTACATATTATGGCAGCCCTAGACAACTAATATAAGCTGTGTTAGCAGTTCCATTCAGAAGCAATTTCATAACCACATATGTTAGAGTTAACCAGTTTTTAAAAATTTCTTATTGCTTAAAAATGTGGTTTCATTAATTCACTTTTAAAATTCATCAGAGACTCAGTATGGCTCAGTGAACAGTGTTGGCCCACAGACTGAAGGGTCCGTGGTTTGATCCTTGTCAAGGGTACATACCTAGGTTGTAGGCTCGTTCCTCAGCCTGGCTGGGATGCATGTGGGAGGCAACCAATCAATGTGTCTTTCTTACATCGATGTTTCTCTCTCTGTCTCTCCCCCTCTGTCTAAAAATCAATGGAAAAATATCCTCCAGTAAAGATTAACAACAAAAAATTATCATTCATTAAAAATTCACTACTTATATAATTAACATTCTCAAAAATCAAATTTCCCCAGATCAAGTTTCTTTCTGCACATGGACAGATTCCCCATGTCCCCAAATCCTCAACAAATTAAAAAGAAAAAGAAATAAAAACCTCGAGTTAAGCAATTATTTGTATACCTTGATCAATATATAATCTGGAAAATTCATCTTATAAAAATAAAAAAATCAATTAAACAAATGCTTAATTTTTCTACAGATATCTATTACCTGAAGAAATCATTCATGCCCACTAAGTTTTCTGAGGTTAAATGCCCTATAAAAAAGGTTAAGGATTTCTTATAGTGCAGAATAAGAAATCAAATAACTAAGAAAAAGGGAACACTTGGGACAGATGTATATTGATTACCTTAAGTTTGAAGGTTATAAGAAAGATAGCTTACAGACCTGCCAGTTTGAGTTTTGTTCTACTTTCCTAGAGAAGTCAGACATTTATTATAATTAGTAATGAGAAGAAATTCCTGCTTTGTTCAGGAACTGCAAACTTATCCAGGAGAAAAGAAAAAGTATTTGTTGGCAAAGTTTAGGGAAAATTAGCTTACTTTGAGCTTTAATATATAGAATTAGAGGAGGGTGAACTGGTACTATAGGTAGGCTCTCTTTTTGCAAGATCTCTAGGGCAATGGATTTACTGCAAAATTTTCACGATTCTTTTATTTTAAATAAAAATAGATATTTTTATTGATTTCAGAGAGGAAGGAAGAGATGGAAACATCAGTGATGAGAGGTAATTACTGATTGGCTGCCTCCTACACACCCTGAGGATGGAGCCCAAAATCTGGGCATATACCCCGAGAATCAAACTGTGACCTCCAGGTTCAAAGGTCGACTGAGCCAACCCAGTCAAACCACTGAGCCAAGCCAGTCAAGTTCATGATTTTTTATACACCTTTTGTATAATCTTCAGACTGAATGTTTTACAATATTTCAAATATGTATCTATAAATAATAAAAGCGTAATATGCTAATTAGACTGGACAGCCAAATAACCTTCTGGACATCCTTCTGGATGAAGCCAGGGCTGCAAGGGCCGAAGCACGCCGCTGCGACTGCAAGGGCTGAGCCCCTGCATGACTTTCGTGCACTGGGCCTCTAACAAGTATATAAAATACTCAGATAAGACAGCGATTGAGTTTGTAAAGAAAAAAGGGAAAAATCCAAATGCTCAATAAGGAATTCGATATTAAGAAATTATGGAATAAACTATCAATGGATTAAGCAGGACCTCACAATTCAGCCAAAAGATGGGCTCTGGAAGACCAAAGAGCCAAATGCCTATGCTGCCAACATTTCTGAAATCCATCACAACTGAGTAATAGTAGTAATATGAACAAGATATAACATTTAGATTATTAATCTCTATTCAGATAAAGATAAGCATTCTTCATGTTATTTAGTTTGAAAGAAAAATCCCCTACTACCTTTTATATTCTGTTGACAGTCAATTGAAGTATAAACGTATATTTATTAAGAGTACAATACCACAATTGTGAGGATTATGAAAAACATTCAAACATATTAGAAATAAAAATATAAGTGAAGGCAACATCTTAAGTCTGCCTCTGAAAATAGGCAGTGTTCAAAAAGGTCAATATGTGGTATTATATAAATAAAACTACAATCACCACTGAGGAAATCTATAAGTTCATAAACTGAAGATAATTTTTATCTTAGTCGTTATCAGAAGGGAAAAAAAGGCTGATTAATTTGGTGGCATAAACATCATTAGCAGCCTCTTATAGTGGCAGAACTAGCCTAAAAATATTTTGTTCTTCCATTCACCTCAGTGCAAAAGAGATCATTTATTTATTATTATAAACACTGAGTGCAGGAGCAATCCCATGCCTAAGAAATTACTGTTCTTGTACTATTAATGTCAAAATTCACTAAAATTAAATCACTAAAATCAACATTATAAAAATTAAATAAATTTTAAAAATCATATGAAACTTCAATCTTATTCCTGATGCTAGAAGCACTTTAATAATGGTAAAGTATAATTTTAGCCTTGGCTGGAGATTAATTTTAACACTTGAAATCACTTGGTCAAAATGTAGTGCACCTCTAGAATATATAAAAGAGTTTTACACAAAACCTGAAAAATGATAATTCAGAACTGTCTCTATATCTCCATTTTTTAAGTTTCTAAATAAAAGTAATCATCTTATATAAATATGAGGTTAAAACAAATTAAAAGAATATAGAACAGTATGGCACACAGTAAGTGCTCAATAAATGTTTGCTATTACCATTATGAGTATGGAACTTGTCAAGTTTGTTTTTCAAAGTTTGCAGTCATATCAAATTATTAACAGTTATTTCTGGGGCCTTTCATTTTTTTGTTATAAATTTCTGCACTCTTTAAATTTTATACTGTTTTATTTTAAAAAAGAGAAAGATATTTTAAGAATGAGACTGAATTGCCGAAACCGGTTTGGCTCAGTGGATAAGAGCGTCGGCCTGTGGACTGAAAGATCCCAGGTTTGATTCCGGTCAAAGGCATGTACCTTGGTTGCGGGCACATCCCCAGTAGGGGGTGTGCAAGAGGCAGCTGATCAATGTTTCTGGCTCTCTATCCCTTTCTCTTCCTCCCTGCAAAAAAATCAATAAAATAAATTAAAAAAAAAAAAAAAAAAAAAAAGAATGACGGAATTAACAGCAGCTATTGGCTGTTATGTATTTTGTCAACCAACAGATATTAAAAGTACAAACTAGTATCATGTAAGTGCCCTTGAAATTTGATACTAAAAAGGGATCTTTGTATTTGAAATACAGGACACAATATTGTGGATCATGGTAACAGTTTCAACCTTATACAAAGCATCTTTAATACACCAAGACTTCAGATAGTGCACAATTCCAGGAATATAAGATTATGCTTCTTAATTGTAGCCAAGAATTCAGAAGAACAATGAATACCAATATGAGAAACACACTGTTAGGAACTATTCAAGAATGTGGAGAAGAGTCAAGACAAATCACTGGTTACTTATTCTAAATTCTAGGACTATTTCTTTTGAATATATTACTAAACCTTAAACTAATATGACACTCAATTCACCTCTGGGAAGAAACTGCATACTTAAACATTTTTCTTAAAAATTTGCTTTAAGAAACAGTGCCATTAAAATGCAAATTTATTTTAAAATTCATAAATTTAATTTTGATTCTACCTGAAGCAGAGTTCCATGAATCAGAAGATGATCTTTTTCTTGAGAGATGTCCATTTTCCTATTAGCAAAATGAGATAAAATTCATTATGAGTTGGGGGAAGTAAAGTATGTGAATTTTTCTTTATAACATTTAAACACAGATTTCTATACTGAATAAAGCAAAAATGTGTATTTGGAGGTTAAATTTAAGCTTCTATAATAAAATATTTTAAATTCTTAAGGGCATTTATGTCATAAAAATAAAGGGCATTTATTTCATAAAAATATAAAAAATGCCATAAAATAGTCAGTTTTTGTAACACAAATTTAGAAATTTACATTCATAGTTCAGGATTAAGATTTTATTACAGCAGTGTACTATTATTTTGATAAAGAAATAATAAGCTTAATATTTGCCAATTAAATGGATAAAATTCATTTTTCAATATTTTTAAGAACTGGTGCAATACCAAACATTGAAATCTTATAAAAATGGAAAAATGTTACTAATCTCTATTGATCATTAGCAAATCTCACTGGTATAGGCACCAAACTCCTTGTAAACCCTAAAGTTATATAAATATATTTTCTTGCAACAATCTCCATTTACTCCCAACTTCATAGTTTGGTTTATTTTTGGTCTATCTGGTGTACAAATTTCATAGCAGCATTTCATCAGTGCACTTACTGTTACCTAATCTTCCTGTATTTGCTCTGTATGAAGAACAGCTTTCTGAAATAGATATATTTAACAACTTGACCTCACAGGGATGAGGGTCATCTTTTATGCTGATCTAAGTTTGGTCTAGTCTCAAAAGATAAATCTGATGAGGTTAAGATGTGAAGGGGATGTCTGGAGGTGGAAGAGGGCAGAGAGGGGATAAATGGTGATGGGAAAAACTAAGTTAAATGAAAAAAAAATTTTAAAATGTTATTTGGATAGCTTTCTAAGACTCATACTCAATTACTTAAGATCTACACTAATAAAAAAGATGCAAATTGACCCTACCTCCACGGCACCCATCAGCCAATCAGGAGTATGCAAATTAACCCAAGACAGTGGGTTAATTTGCATAAACAGGCACCAATCGGCCATGTCATTCCATAACGCACCAACCACTATAAGTCATTTCATAATGCACCAGCGTGGGGAGGCAGAAATGCAGCTCTGGACCGGAGCAAAAGTGGAAAGACAGCTCCGTCTGGAGTAAAGGCAGTGCCAGCAACCAGGGAAAAGAAGGCCCATTCTTACATGAGGCCTCTTGTTTATATATAATCTAAACCAGTGATTCCCAAACTTTAATGTTCAGCAAAATCATTTAGAAGGCTTGTTAATGGCAGACTGCTGAATTCTACCTCCACAGTTTCTGGTTCAGTGGTTCTGGAGTGGGAGCTGAGATCTGTATTTCTAACAACTTAACAAATTAAGGCCAGGAAACATTATTTTACTGAGTTTGATCAACAGTTGGAGAAAACCTAATGAAATCAGCTTCTATTACACAATCTGTTATTATTTCTTTAATAAAAGATAACAATATATCCTAACAATTTAAATATTTTTAGATTTAATATCTAAATATGACAAAGCAACCCTAACCAATTTGGCTCAGTGGAAAGAGCATCCTGTGGACTGAAGGGTCCTGGGTTCGATTCCTGTCAAGGGCATGTACCTTGGTTGTGGGCACATCCCCAGTGGGGAATGTGTAGGAGGCAGCTGAATTGATGTTTCTCTCTCATTCTCTATTCCTCTCCTTCTCCATTCCTCTGTAAAAAATCAATAAAATATATATTTAAAAAAAAAATAAACATGACAAAGCAATAGCCAAGCTAATTCAGTAATTATTTCACATACCATGTTTGAAAGATTACTCTTCCCAGGTCTGACATCATTCTGTTTACTTTGTTCCTGCCTTGGTTGGTAATTTCTTTCTATACTAGACGATTTTAAGGAAAGACTGTTTGCTTCTGAGAAAGAATTTTCTGAGTTGATTCTCTGTTCCATTTGCTCCCTTCTTAATTTCTTTAGTTCTCTTTCTTTGCAGTAAGAAGCTAGTGACAACTGGAACTTAGCTCCAAGTGGACTTTCTCCTGAGTGATGCCTGGATAGGCTGCTTCTGCTGCTAAGACTTCTGGTGGTGTTCTTGAAGATGTCAGTTTCTGTCACTGTGGTCTGCTTTTTGGAATCTGCATTGGTCTTGCCTCGATCTCTATCATTCTTCTCCCTGCTATTTTCATGAGTGTACAGTGACTTTCTTCTCTCTGGAGATCGATGTTTTTTCTTTAGTGTCTTCATCTCTTTAGACAGGTGACATGAAGGAGGAACATAGACAGTCTTTGTAAGTGTCTTTGGACATTTGGTGGTTAGTGACACACAAGGCCGATATGACTCATGTACACCATGATCTTTATGGTGCTCTTTAACACCTTTCATTAAAGCCTCTAAAATAGAGCTTTTTTCTGATGACAGCTTTTTGGGTTTAGATATTTTTGGCGAGGATAGTTTCCTTTCAAACTGCTCTGTCCCAGTGATGGATAAACCACTTTCTCCATACTTGATGTTTGACTTTTGTGGAGAATCCAACATATGTCTGTCTAAATAGCCAATTAAAATACACAAATTGCATGTTATTAAAAATATACAAACTATTTGTATAAAAATAATACTAATCTATCACAAAAAAATTCAAATTGCTTATTTAGATGATGATACACATTTTATGGGGGGTGGGATTAAGACACAATTTAATTGTTAACAGCCTTACTTTCATAAGCCTTCCTTTTGCAATATCACGTAAGCTCCTTATGGCTCTATGAAATAAGTTACTGTATTAGAAAATCAAACCGGTATGCATTATGAAAATTGGCTAGAATAGTTTTAAAAGATAGAAGCAAAAAGTTTCATGATGCTTACAATTGTTTATCTTTGTAAAAAAACTGCATTTTAATTTTCAATTTTTAATACTATTTAATCAAATTAATGAATTTAGAGCAGATTTAAGAACTGAATCCATTTCCCTTTCCAAAAAAAATCCCACAAAAAAATGCATCAGTAGTATACATACCTGGTTTTGAAGTTGGTTTGAAGAAATCTATAATTGACTGCTTCCTGAAAATAAAAGCATAACTAATATGGAATCACATAAGCAAATATTCAAACCTTAATAATTTATAGAATATAAATTATTCTAGCAGATTTATAGAATATAGGTTGAATTTCACTATCTAGTTTATCAAAATCTGACAAGAGCAATAATGCTTTGTTAAGCTGATTTTAAACAACTGAAAATATAATTCACCACTTCCTGTAGGAATAAATTTATAAGTACAACTGAAGTTTATATATTCTATAGTACTAAAATGAGAAGATAGAAGTATAGACCAGAGAATTGGTAGAGTGCTTCCTAGGGCTCAAAAGCTCACTACTACATAGAGTAAAAGATCTTGAGGGAATCTGATCCTATTCTTTAACTTCAGTAATTTGATTCAAAATAATGTTTAATCAATGTTCGCTAAATGAATAATGGATATTGTAAAAACTGAGTAAAACCTGAAGAGACTCATCACAAGAGTAGATGGCAGAATGGGTCGATTAGGCTGGTCTGAGGATACAGCTGAAGAGTATGCTGAGCAAAAGGATCAAGTATTAATCTTATACTATTTTCTTGTACACGACACTAAGATGCTAATCTAAGTAGCAGCAGAAATTGGAATGAGTTCACAACTACATAGTGTTTCAAAAACCTTAATTTATCTAAAAGTTTTTTTAAAATATATTTTTTATTGATTTCAGAGGAAGGGAGAGGGAGAGAGGAAGAGAGAAACATCAATGATGAGAATCACTGATTGGCTGCCTCCTGCATGGCTTCTACTGGGGATTGAGTCTGCAACCCTGGCATGTGCCTTTGATTGGAATTGAACCTGGGACCCTTCAGTCTGCAGGTTGATACTCCATCCACTGAGCCAAACCAGCCAGGGCTATCTAAGAGTTCTTAAGTTATTTACAAGAATAACACATTACCTGGGGGGGAATAAAACAAAGAGAAAAGTTAACAAGAATAACAAAACCCAAATTGTTTTCATTTTTAAAAAGAATTTCTGCACCCTACAGTGGACACAAAGTGAAATAGGACCATATTATCAGAATTCATATTCTGATTTGTTCATGTCTTTAGAATTATTTGTCAGCTGCATAAAGAGGGGAATTATATCTAGAACAAAAAAATCAACCTTCTGGCAAATATGGCTAAAATTAAATTATTTTCTTGAAAGAAAATAACCAATAGTCTATGAATTTCCTTAAACATTTATCCGCTAGGAGGTTGGAATGCTCAGAGAAAACCAACAACCCAAGTCCCTTGAAGGTTAAGCTTTATCTTATATACTTTACTGATCACATTACAAAAGCAATGTCCATCTTTAATGGTTTATTGAGAGCCTACAATGTTTGTTTTAGATGCTGGTAGAAAAATTAAAGAGGTTATAAAATGAATGAGTAATGGAAGAAAGAATCTCTGCATTTGTTTTCATAAAATAAATTGGACACATCACTACATGAGAGTCAAGAAACAAATGCTAGAGGTTTTGTAAAGAGAAGGATGGTACCTTCAGTTATTGAGGAAAAAGAGATGGGACAGGATTAAAAAGCAGTTAATTCAAAACAAGATAGTACTAAATGTTTTTACATTAATTACTAAAAGTAACATTATATCTCTTTCCAAAAATATTAGATCCCTGGCTCCCCCCCCCTCCATTCTTATACTAGAGAGAAAAATGGTTTTGTAAAACACGCAGGATATGTGCAAAACAACTAGGAATGTTTCCTTAAGTTCACATGCACAGAAATATATTACTTATTCATAACTAGTTAAAAAATTTATAACAGCTCACAAACACTTATCTGAAACTTCTGGGGCCAAATGTATTTTAGAATTCTGGGTTTTAGAAAAGCAGGTAACTTGGATGCAGTATGTAAAGCCCTTAGTGGGGTTTGATATTGCACCCTGTAGCAGTAAACACAATATTTTTCCAGCAAAACTCATGAACACTTACACTTAATGGGATATAGACCATATACAGCCTTCCATTAGTTCTAGTTAGGTTTGGCTTCCAAGTAAGATGTGGTGCCAAACTTACTGAATACTTTTGGTTTTCATAGCTTCCTGACTTTCAAAATGAAGATAAGGGATTGTGGACCTGTTCTACCAATAGCAGTAGATACATTTACTATTAAACTTAAGTTACAAGCTTTTAAACTTAAAATAAAAAAGACAGTACCAAGTGTGTAGAGAATTTAAACATGTTTTATTGTCAGAGGAAGTCATTTGAAGAAATTCCCCATCTTTTTACATAGCTCCCACAAAATCTTTACATAAAAGCTGGCCTCTTGGACTGGAGAAAACATCACATTCCAAAATGTGCATGTTCTTTTAAAAGTATGAATGATGGTTTATGCTGAACTAAAAAGTGATTTGTGGGTTTCCCTTACCCCGCCTTACATAATTTCTCACCTACAATATAGGAAAAAAAAAACCCAAAACAAACGGTTTCTACTATTAAACCACTAGGATCAGTAGCACTGGCAAAGTACAGAAAACCACCTAGATGTGCATTAACCGGTTAGGGCTGCGGGGGTCCAGCTATCGTCAAGGACAAGAATCACATACTAAGGCGGGCTATCTCCGCAGCCACCCCGGCGGCGGCGGTCCCCAGACCGAGGACAGCGTCCCAACTACAGACAAGGAAACTCGAACTCCCAGAAGCCGCCGCGCGGAGGCGGGGCGGAGGCTCGCCAGGCCCCAAAACGCTGAGGCCTGGGCTCGCGGAGGATGGCGGGAACTGGAAGAGCGGCCGTCCGCAGTCCTCCCTCATACCCTTGCCCCCGCGACCCGGCCCCTTCTCAAGCCCTCTGCACGGTACCTGTCCCCAGGACTCTCTGTCCTCTTTCCCGCTGCAGCAGGAGCGGTACTACCGGGTCTCTGATGGCAGCGCGGGGGCGACGACCCCGGGGCTGGGGATGAGGGGAAACCTGGCCTAGCGAGCATGCAGCGCCTTGTCATGTCGGCGCCGCTGGCGACGGCGGCATGAGCTGTAGCTGGAGAAGTTGGGTGCGTGGTTGCCGTCTTGTCGCTGGGACTCGGGGAGGCTGTCGGAACAGAGGTGGGCGGCACCCCCTTCTCTCTTCATGGCGGTTCTCTCTTCGGAAGTGACTCTTGTGTGAGCGGGAAGGAACCAGAGGACTATCAGGGGGCGGGTCTTACTTGAAGAGCCGGGCTCTGATTGGCTGATGCGGCAGTCGTTCCCGTAGTGGCGCAATAGAGAGCCGCAGCCTCTCAGGAGAAGGAGGGGTTTCGGGGAGGGGAGGGGAGAAGGGAAACTGCCCCGCGGTCACGTGCGCGGGACGGGGGCGGGCGGGGGCGGGCCGTGCTGCCCAGTCCTGCTGGCGTCAGACTGGGCGGGCGCGCGGGGGCGGGAAGACGCGGGCTGCCGTAGGCGCTGCTGCTGCAGCAGCAGCAGCAGGCGGCACCAGGCTGGTGGAGAGCGAGAGGGGCGAGGTTTGCAAAAGCAAACCCGAGCAGCAGCTGCCCTCCTATGTCACACAATCGCGTCTAAGAAATCCCCAGCTGTTCATTACATCGTCTGTAACATCTAAGGCCCAAGTGCCCTAAAGCTGTCATCACTTCCACGGCATTCTGCACAGCCAGATCTGAAAACTTGCCCATTCTGTGAGCGTTCTTGTTAAGTGCTCTGGTGGATAATTTTTTTTTTCTTTAAGAAGGAAAAAACCCCATTGAAATAAAGACTGATTTTATTCCACAAAAGCATTTTGCTTTTCAGCTGCTGAAAGAAGTTGTCCATGAAGCTCTGCAGCCAGACTCCTTGGAGATTTTGAAAGGAACATAAGGTCAGGTTTCAATTACCCAGGTTAAGTGTGGACAGCATAGATTAGTGAAAGGCCCAGCAATCTCCATTCCTTTGTAATAAATGGCCTGTGCTCTGGGCTCTGTGAGCCAGGGTTTTCCTTATAGAGACTGGTCAGAGTAACTGAGCCTCAGTTTCCACAACTATAGAGTGGGTATTCTACTTCTCTTGGTTATTGTAAACTGCCCAGTCCTGCTTGCGTTATAAAATAGATAAGCAATGCAAACTACAGTTGAGAGTCTCTTATGTAATAAGCACTGAGTAAATTAGAGTTCATTCTTTAGACAGACTCTTACACTTTAATTTAAAAAATCTTCCAGAGACAGGTCACATACTGTTATAACTATTAACCAAAATAGCAATCTCAAGGTTGTCTAAGCTTGAATTGGCAGGACTGTTCAATCAGTTGGATGGAATAAAATCTTAAATGACACAAAAGGATTTAGACAGGTCTTTAAAGTTTATTGCACTGAGATTTAACTGCTTCAGTAGCTAAGGATGCCTGACTGACCTGAAATTCACCTCCTTTCTTTCTCAATTAGCCCTCAAGAGGAAGAATTAATGGGGAATAAAGTGGCAAACAAGGTGACAAAGTGGAGGGTAGAAGACCAGCAGTGAGTGTACAGGTCTCACATTCATCCAAAAAACTGTCTACATACTAGGTAGTAGTGATGCAAGAAAGGAAATACTGCCCAGCCAGGTGTGGCTCAGCGGTTGAGGGTTGTTGCATGAACCAAGAGGTCACCGGTTCTATTCCCAGTGCGGGCATATGCTCCAGTTGCGGGCTCCATCTCCAGTTGGGGTGTGGAGGAGGCAGCTGACTGATGATTCTCTCTCATCATTGATGTTTCTATCAATCTCTCCCTCTGCCTTCCTCTCTGAAATCAATAAAAATATTTTTTTAAGAAAGAAAGAAAAGACTAAAATGAGGGTTATTTCTAATAACTGAGAAGCTACTATACCTTGCGTTGTTCCTTATATAAAAGAAGAACATAATAGATGCTCAAAATATGTTGAATGAATAATGGCATACATTGTTTATTAAGGGTTTTTACATGTATTATTTCCCACGTCTTGTGTTAGTGTTTTCTGTTGGATGTTTCTACATGAGTAAATCCCTGCTTCTATAGCAGCACATCTACAAAACATTTGATTCATTTCATTGCTTGGTCAGTCCATAAAGAGTAATGCACAAAAACACGTTCTGCATGATCAATTAGTTGCTTTTCTTGGATTATAGTATTTGAATCATCCAGCTTCCAAAGTATCACTTTAAAGTCTATACTCAAACAATAGTTTTCACATTTTCTTAATCTGAGCAACAGATTATGGAGTTAAGTGAGGCAAGAAATCCCTTGATCAATAAAAGGAATGGAATCATAATGAAAACACAATTTAAAAAATCTCTTCTTAATAAGGAAGCAGTTATCTAAATCCGCAATAAGCATCAAGGTTCTTCTTGTTGAAGCTGTGTTTGAAAATGATACAAATTTGGTTGCAGAGTGAAATATGCTCAACAAACTAACCAGAACTGCTGGGAATCTCTAAGGCTCTTATTTCCCCACAAACAGTGTTGGATAATCTATTTTGTGCTTATACATCTTTTCCCATTTTGAATGTGTATAGTGTGTGTGTGTGTGTGTGTGTGTGTTGATATACGGGCTTTTCACACATCCATTTGTAGAAGGTCAGAAATAGATGGCTAGGAAGCTGTGCAGGAGGGGGAAGAACTTCAAGAGCTCAGGTATTGGCACTTGAGGAGACAAGGGGAGAGAAAACTTCATGTGGAGCTAGGCGGAGAGTATAGATAAAACTGAATTAGAGACTTCAGACACAACTTCAGGCAGGGGTGGAAAAATAATTTGAAAATACGAAGCCAGATGACTTGAGATTTGGGAGCATGGGGATAAGGACGCAGAGACCACAGGAATGGAGTGGTTTCTATGCATGAAGCTTCTCTGGGTTACAGTTAGTTTAGCACCCGAGTTATTAAAGACAATAGAAGGAGCTCTGACTTTGGCCTTGAAGGGGGGAATGGGGCCGCAGCAGGAACAATGTTTCATGAACAGCAGATCAAGTTTGCCGGGAGCAGCAAGCCCAACGTGGGAGTCCTGAGGAGCAGCCGCACAGCTGATGCCAGAGGTCACAAGCGGTCACAAAGAAAGAAACAGCTCTGGCAGCCTGTCTCACACAGAGCCTTATTCAGCAGGGAGTAAGAGAACGAAAGGTTAGATAAGATACAAAGAATGCCACTAAAAATCAGGGAACTATAAAAGGAACTTTTAATGACATATTTTTGCTCTGAGATAGCTGTACTCTGGAATAAGTTCTGAGGCTCTTGGAGGATGGGCCCAAGGGCAGCTGAGACACAGAGTAGCCTGCGGGTGGTCAAGAGAGTGTGTGGAGGAGAGGGTGGAGGTTACCTGGGAAGGGGGAAAAGGAAGAGACTCAGAGAAACAGAAATATTTAACTTGAGAGCCTGACAGAGAAAGGAAGACCACATGGTGATCCGAAGAAGGGAAGGCAGTTCCAGTATCTTAAGATGTATACAAATATATATATATATTTTTTCAAATAGATGCTGGACTCCAAACTGCCCAACTAGTGCTTGGAAAAAGCCTTGGCTTGGTTTTAAGGGGCTGCTTGGGAAAAGTGAAATGTAATATAATATCATGTCATGTAACTTCACTTCCTGGGAGTAATGAGTAAAATTGAAAAACCAGATCTAATGTTTAAGAAAGTAGGTTTCTTGTTATTTTATAATGAAACTAGAGGGTCGGTGCATGAAATTGGTGCATGGGGGTGTGTGTCCCTCAGCGCAGCCTGTACCATCTCCAGTCTGGGACCCCTCGAGGGATGTCCCGGTAGGATCAGGCTTAAACAGGCAGTTAGACATCCCGCTCACAATTCAGAACTGCTGGCTCCCAACTGATAGCCTGCCTGCCTTCCTGATTGGCCCTAACTTCTTCTGCCTACCAGCCTGATCACCCCCTAACCACTCTCCTGCCAGCCTGATTGAAGCCTAACTGTTCCCCTGCCAGCCTGATTGCCCCTTAATGCCTTCCTTTGCTGGCTTGGTCACCGCTAACTGCCTTTTCCTGCAGGCCTGGTCACCCCTAACTGCCCTTTCCTGCAGGCCTGCCCCCCCCCCCCAACTGCCCTCCCCTGCAGGGCTGATCCCCCCCAAATGCCCTTCCCTGCAGGCCCAGTCATCCCCAACTTCCCTCCTCTGCCAGTCTGGTCACCTCTAATTGTTCTCCCTTGCAGGCTTGATCGCCCCCAACTGCCCTCCCTTGCAGACCTGGTTCCTCCCAACTACATTCCCCTGCTGGCCATCTTGTGGAGGCCATCTTGTGTTCACATGAGGGCAGCCATTTTGTGTGTTGGAGTGATGGTCAATTTGCATAGATAGGATGGTGCAAGATAGTGCTTCCCATACTTAAGAACATGAGCAACATGTTTGAGATTTTGACATGCCTGTTTCCTATATTATAATTTATGCAACCTATTTCTTTGAATCACTTTTTAAATACATTTATTTAAAAAGAAAACTTAAAATCATTTATGTAAGTGGAAAATCAGTATCACTTGGAAAGTGATAAATTTCCAAATGGAAGCCACCTGTAAAAGATAATTTGAAATAACAAATATAAATATAAATATCCCCATGATTTTTTCTAGCGTTATCTTGCTTACTAATGGTGGTAGGCATATGTATTACTCATACATCTGAAATAAGAAACTCCTTGGGAAATATTAGTTGTAGGTACTGCAACCTATAATCGGGGTATTCAGGCTTGGTTAGCAATCTATTAGAGGGTTTTGAAATTAATATAATTGGTCACAGATCACACTGAGCAAACAAACAAATAAACAATCAGAATTGAGTAGAAAATATCAGTGCACTGCACATCATATTTGGGGATGTGTTGTTTTGCAAAACATTTACTTCTGTTGTATATATAGTGTCTATGGCAGTGAAACAAAAGGGTATTTCTGTGGTTCCAACTGTGGGCAGCGGTGGAAATGTTTGAAAGTTGTTGCTATAGTCTGTATTCATATTTCATGCTTCTGTGGCACTGAACAGCAGAAGCTACTTGGAGGAAACAAGATGGACTTCCTTTGGTTACTGCTGAAG